AGTCTAGTCAAAAGCTTGTGAGATGGGGGAAGGGGGCGGGGCTTCCAGGCGGTGTCCGTTAATATTCAAAACGCCTACATAAATCATACAACATTCACATGTCGATTGGCTCGTGAAATGGAACTAATGGCAGAGCTAGGTGAAGGTGGAACTTATTTTAAAACTGGAAAAGTGGAACCTCAGTGGACAAATTTTAAAAAGAGGCCTTTTTTAAAATGAAAACTAGCTAGATCCACTGTATAGCAATATTACCCATTATTACCTCTCTCCCTCTGGGGGAAACCTTAATGGTTCTTGTGTAGAAATACTACCTATTCAATAATCCTTTTATTGTTCCTTAGAAATGATATGACTTATGTGTAGGGGCAGCTGAAATTTTTGCTGAAATATAAACTATTACCAGCAGTTATAAATCATTGCCCTTGCTTCGGGAAGTCTGTCCAGGGTGTGCTCTGTGATCCAGGCTTTTTAAACACTACAATCTCATGCACAATCTCTGAGCTCTGTGCAGATCCAGGAAACAATTAGTTTAGCAAATAATCTGTCAGGAACTAGTTATTATCTGGGTGCCTAGGATCACATTATGCTATTGTTTATTACTCTTTTAGCAATGTGTTGACTATTTAATTACTTTGAAATTCTCAATTATACACTAGAGTCCCAACATACAGTTCTTTTTTTATAAAGCTTTTGCTAACGTTGTATTTCAGACCTGCAGCATTGGCTTCCCTATTTTGCTTCTGTATTTGTCTGCTAGATAAAAAATGCAATATCAATACAATGAAATATAACCTTTAACCCCTTGCAGCCTAACCCCTGACCTTTTAACCTTTTATGTTCTACAGAGGCTGGCCAGAGAGGCGGAACAGATCCAGACATTGCACCCCTGGAGGGACAACATTACAGTAAGTGTGCCTGTATTTGCTGTGTTCCAATCCTGTCTTGCAGTCATGTGGACTACACTGGTATGCGTTCAGTTACCTACATCCTATAAATTAGTGTAAGACTATGATAGTGATAAAGCCCCATATTTCGTTAGGATCAATCATTGAGGCACAGTGAATAGAAAAGAAAATTTGAACACATCTATATTATAGTTAAAAATAGGCTTTTTGTCAAGAGGTGACTTACTGACTCTCCATTGCTGATACGTACTTGTTACGCAAGTCTTATGACCCCCATGGAAGGTGGGAAATGACTAAATTATGGGCCAATAATTTTCCATAAATAATGCAACCTAGTCCTATTTTAATTTATATAGCTAAGCACTTGACTCTGCCATCATTTAAGAACAATTGAGTCATGAGTCATGTTAGCTAAAGTTGTACCATACATAAAGGCCTAGGAGGGTGTCTTGATGTTTTATAAAAACCTGTGGAGGATTCGTGTAGATAGCTACACACACTGGACCTTTATCAGATAAACCTGCTATATAGGTGCAGTTTGTAGGTACAGAATTAAATAGAATTAATGCACACATACAACTGTTACAATGCATACTTTTTCCACCCCCTATTACTTTATCCATTATTGGAAAGGTAAAAACCATGGGACAACCAAGTAAAGTGGGCAGCATGTTTAGCTTTAGCATCAAATCCAAAACATTACTAGTGTGAAATGGAGGAACGGGCGGGGCTTCAGTTAATATCGGAGAGTATGAAAAGCTTGCGCAAATGTCCATTGGCTCATCTGCCATTAAATGCAGAGCTCGTATGCAAAATATGTAAAGCCTGGCACGTCTGATAGACTTTTAAATATTTATTTTCCATCTCAGCCCATCACCCGTCCCGCTGGGGCACGCCCCACAGTTTGAATACCTCTGTTCTAGAAAATGAAGTACTGACGCTGACTGTTTGATAAGTGAGTTACTGTCAGTTGCTGTCATTTGACAAATAATAAAGGCCAAAGAGTGCTGCAGCTGATCATCCAAGAGCACTTTTACACACATGCAAACACCATTATTGTATATTCTAACCCCTATTCACAGCTACGTACTCCAAATATCCTTTACAAAAACACTGGCACCGCACACACTCTGCCGTCTGTCTCCAGGGAGACCATGCTTGCTGTCATGCTGCACTTCCTACAAATGGAATTTTAACCCCATGCCTCCCGAGGGATATTTGAGAAAAGACTCTAAAGCTAATAATTATGAAACCTCCTCACCGTGAGAGCCCATTTCTGTTCATGGCTGCTTAGCCACTGCACTCACAGGGAGGTGGGGAGAGAGCTGCCTATCACGCCACACACTCCTCGCTTAGAGCTCTGCAACCAAATGCACATTTTATAGTATCACATGCATGCACACAGACATTACATGCTTTTAAAACACTCGCCTCTGTGAGTTCTGTTAAAATGGCGTCACACATTGCACGGGTAAAGTACTCGTCTTTTGTCTCTCGTTCGTCTGTTTTTCCCCCTCCCTTTCATTCTTTCTGATTTAAAACGCAGTCTTATGCTGGATGCCAAAAACACACCTCTCTTTTTAAGTTCCTTCTTATTTTTTTCTCTCGCCACATTTCTCTCTTCCTCACTCTCTCTACTCGTTTGTCTCTTTCCTCTCTCCCCACCTCTCTCTCCTTCCCTCTCCACCCTGTTATCAGCCCTCCTCATTTCTAATCAGCCATGAAAACAGTTTGAAAATGTCATATTGTTGCAAACACTGCAAATGAGACCTAATGGGGGTGCGGGCATTAATAATGTATCACGGGGCTGATTTCATTTGCTTTTATAATTAGCTCAGGTAATGAAACACTGTGGAGGCCCAAACCATTTCAGCACCTTCACGCGAGAGAGGGGGACAAGACATGTCCTTTAGCGAGGACAAGTGTCTTTGGTGATTCTGGCTCGCTCTCTCTCTCTCTCTCTCTCTCTCTGTCTCTCTTTCTCTCTCTCTCTTGTTTGGCAAATGTTCGCTGTTTCCTTTTTTTTGGCTGAAGACTGCTGACTGACACTGTAATTAGATTAGGCCTCCATGCTTTTTGGGCACATTAGGGACCCAGAGTGAAAAGCATGTTAAAGCAGTTGGAGGGAGGCAGAAAGACCGAGAGAAAAAGACAGATGGAAGGAGGAGGAGAGAGAGAGGCATACGTAAAACATACACAAAATTGTATAATATTATATAGTAATAAAAATAAAAGTGTGTGTATGTATGTATGTATGTATGTATGTATGTGGTGCATCTGTTTGCAATCCCGTGGGAAGTAGCGCCATTAGGCTCTATCATTCTGCACCTAAACACTGAGTATTTTGTACACAGCCCTGCATATTTTTTCAGCTGAATATTAGAAATAGCCACACTGTCTTAATGTAAAAAAGTGCTTAGTGCTCAGTTTAAAAAAAGCTATTTCCACACTGAAGCTAGTTTTCACAGGGACTATACAGTCGCTTCCAAAAGTACTGGAACGGCAAGGCTAATTCATTTGTTTTCGCTATAACCTGAAGACATTTGGGTTTGAGATCATCAGATGAATATGAGACGATAGATCAGAATTTCAGCTTTCATATCCTGATATTTAAATTTAGACATGTTAAACAACTTAAAACTTGACACTTGTTTGAACCCACCCATTTTTCAAGTGGTCAGAAATATTGGGACATGTGACTGATGGGTGTTTCTTGTTGCCCAGGTGTGCCCTGTTAGATTGATTGTTTAAACAATTATTAGCTCTGAATGTTTACTCTTGGTTTGAGCTCTGGGTTTAGCCTGTGAAGACTGCATTTATTGTTAAAAAGGATAAACCAACATGAAGATTAGAGAGCTGTCTATGGGAGAAAAGCAAGCCAACTTGTAGCTGAGAAAAGAGGGAAAATTGATTAGAGCCACTCCACAAGCATTGGGCATAGCCAATATGACTATTTGGAATCTCCTGAAAAAGAAAGAAGCCACTGGTGTACTAACAACCACTATCAGACATGGAACAGGTCGGCCAAGGAAAACAACAGCAGTTGACAGAAACATTGTGAGAGCTGTGAAGAAAAACCCCAAAATAACAGTCAGTTACATCCTCCAACAACCTCCACAGTGCAGGGATGAAGGTATCACAATCCACTCTTCGAAGAAGGCCATAGCACAAGATGCAAATCAGCAGTAACAATCATAAAGGCCAGATTCACAAAAGAAATACAGAGATGAGCCACAAAAGTTCTTGCACCAAGACGAACCTCCACCAAAGTGATGGAAAGGCCAAAGTGTGGAGAAAGAAAGGATCTGCTCATGAAGCTCATCAGTCAACTGCGTTCATGGCTGCTTCTGGAACGGGCTCACTAATCTTTATAATGTAACTCATGATGGTAGCGGCAGAATGAATTCGGAAGTCTACAGAAACATTCTGTCTGCTAAATTACTGAGAAATACATCCAATCTGATTGGGAGGAACTTCATCATGCAGCAAGACAATGACCCAAACTACAAACACAATGAAGGACTTTGTCAGGGAAAAAAAAGTGGAAGGTTTAAGACTGACCAAGTCAATCACCAGACCTTAGCCGATTTGAGCATTTCACCTCCTGAAGAGGAGACTGAAGGGAGAACTCCCCCAAAACAAATACCAACTGAAAGAAGCTGCAGTACAAACCTAGAAAAGCGTCACAAAAGAAGAATGCAACAGCTTGGTGATATCAGTGGGTCACTGGCTTTCTGCAAGGCATATGCAACCAAATATCAAGTGTTATTTACTTTAAGACTATCTGTTCCAATACTTTTGCTCACCTAAAAGTGGGTGATCTGTCACCAAAGTTGGCATGTTCAGATTTGTTTAATACATTAATTAATGCTGAAATTCTAATCTACTTTCTCATATTAATTTTTTGATCTGAAACTGAAATGTCTTCAGTTTGTAGCAAAAACAAAAGCATTGGCCTTGCTGTTCCAATACTTTCGGAGGGCATGGATATCAGTCAGTGTCATGCGGGCTCTGCTATACTGGATTTTCATCAGCCAAAACAGAACAGGTAAAGCTATAGAAAATATTGTATATTAACATTGTACATTAACTGGGTCCCTGGAGGACTAGTGGTTAGGCCTCGCCGCCCTCACCACCGTGGCCCGGGTTCGATTCCCAGACAGGGAACCTACCCCAGCCACTGGGGTTGCACTAAACAGTGCACTCCCAGTGCCGGTCCCAAGCCCGGATAACACTGGGAAAGGTTGCATCGGGAAGGGCATCTGGCATAAAAAATGTGCCAAATCATACATGCGGACCAATGATCCGCTGTGGCGACCCCTAACTGGAGCAGCTGAAAGAACAATAACATTGTACGTTAACTCTCACTGTAGCTAGGTGACATCACATCAGCTCAGACTATTTAGATTTTTACATAAAAAAGAAATGGTAGTAATACTAAATACTCATTCGTGTTAGTTTGTGGCAATCTACCACTTGTAAATGAAATATAACAGCATAAAGACAAAGTAAATTTCATAACCAATGGTTAGATCAGCATGAGCCTAACTGCCTAATTATAATCAGTTAGATATTTAGCTTAGCTGTTGCTTTTAGTCATCCAGTGTCTGATTTGATTAATGCTGATCACAAAACTAGGGTAAAGGTGGCACGGTGCCTCACAGCTCCAGTGTCCTCGGTTCAATCCTGAGCTCGGGTTACTGTCTGTGTGGAGATACACGTTATCCCTGTGCCTGAAATAACTCTCCTGAGGTCAGATGTCTCGGCATTCCTTTGGGCCAAAGCCCAACTGTATTCAGTGCTCACAAACACCTCTTAACAGGTGAAACTTCACACTTTAGGCCTCATTTAGCAAGCTGGGTACAAACTAATTTATTCATAACTTCTTCGTAGCATTTAGACAAGAAATTTGGCATTTTATGAGCATCCAGACGTTCTTATCCTAAGAGAACTCCTGAGTTTGTGTGTTTTTTGTTTTTATTTTTGTTTGTTTTTTACGCAGAGGGAGACTCACTAATGAAAGCTTCAAGCAACAGGCTTCAAATCATATGACTGGCGACAAGTTACAGCAATTTTATACAGATTATACTGTTTAAATCACTTATTCACTTATTCAGTTGTACATAATGAATTAATAAAGATTTTGTAAAAACCCAGTCGTTTCATAGAAATGGTTTTAATGAAAGAAATATGAGGAAAAAAATTAATCTGAAGGAAATCAGTGTTACCAAAAATGGCTGGGAATTTTTAGCTTGGTGTGGCCTATGAAAACATTTACACAAAACTTTACTAAAAGGTAAAATATACTGTCCTTTAAAGTTGTCTGGTTCAAGTCTGTCCCACTATAAGCGTTACACAATGTTTCTAACTACGACTGTTAGTTTCCTAAATGTATATAGTATAGTGTAGATGTACTAGCAACTCTACACAGCATGTTATTTCTAAGGGCTATTAAACTCAAAGTCATGAAGCTAGCAATAACAATCCCAGTTTTAGCACTACCTGTGACTTGTTGTGATTGCAGATTTGATTTTGCCTCTTAAGAATTTCCCCATGGCTGCATATCCCAGCCGCTCTTATAAGTCCAGCCATTGTAACGAATGTGCCGGTCGGCCATTATGGCGGTTACAGTGGGCTGTTGTGGTGAGGACTCATTGTGCTTGCAGTAATCTCAACAGCAGAAGTGGGGCTGAGGCGCGTTTAAATCCATCTGAACGCAATAGCGTGTGAAATGGATATTAAAGTGGTTTATTGCGTCTTATTTCTCAAGGTCATTTGGGCTCACCGCTCCGTCAGATTTGGTTTGTGACCTGTTTTCCTGTTGATTAATGCAGGACTCTTGGTGTTAATGTTCTACGCGACTGCTAGCTAATAATTATGTCTCACTGCAAGTATATGTATCCTTATTCTCCTATTAAATTATATTAGTCAGATGTTAGTAAATAAGGCATAAATAGTTCATCATAGCAGTACAGATCTATCATCTGGTCTCTTTTAGTGTCTTGAAACTGCATCTGAATATCGTGTAAAGGATTTTGATATAAAATGACTAAAATCAGTCACAAGTTAGTTCAGACTCTATTTACGCTATATTTACACACTATTTAACAGACTGAATTCCCCTGATCATTGGTTCCAGTAACTGTATACTGTGCATTTTATTTCTAAGCCTTCAGTACACCAGTCTGTGTGGGCATCTTACATCATACGCTTCATAACATGCAACTACACTGAATTAAAAAGACAACGTTGACGTTTCACACTAATGAAAACGAGCATGACTATTAATAAGCTGATGGACCTCCGACTGCAACTGACCACTAAATAAACCTGTTTAAAGTCCATTTTACACAGACACGGTAACAGCGCTGCCATGCCACTGCTTACAGTAAGCTCATATTCCTAAAAATATTCATGCTGTATTCTGCTGTCAAGGCACACTTGTAGCTCTCGTGCAGCAGGTACAAATTTTATTATCAGGATTTTTTTCATCCCAAACCTGGTTGCTTTTTCCAGGGAGGTTAAGGCTTGGACATAGATGGATGGATGGATGGATGGAGGAATGCATGCATGGATGGATGGATGGATGGATGGATAGATAATTTTATTGACTCCTGAGGGAAATTGTTTTGATGCAGCAGTACAATGAACAACAGAAATTACAAGGGCACAGAGAACAAAGATTACAATGCTTAGAAAACTAAATTAAGTAAGAATAGCATAAAATGCTAAGTAGCAACAAAAGTAAGTAAAGTGGTTGTAGTGCAGGTGATGATCATAAAGTGACGGTCATTAGAATGTGTCCATGAGTAAAAGAATGGTAAACATTACAGGAGGTGTCTCCAATGCTGTTATTTCCAGAGGAGACTTCGCCAAATATAAAATGTATAGCAGCTGATAATGTTGAAACCAATGTTTTCAAAAGGAAAAAGTATCCTAATACATTTGAAACAAAGCAGCGTGTTAAAATATCTTTTAGCTCACATTAGCTCACTCGTTGCATGCGTTATTTAATTTAAGTAAACGCTTATAAGGCCAAAGACACATAATCTCTTCATTATAAACATTACTTGAGTCTCAGACTGCAAATGAGAGCGTAGACATATAACTGCAGTAGAGCAAGTGCTTTATTTTGCACATCGACCTGTTTGATTAGACGTGTTAGAAGGCGAGAGAAAGGAACGAATGACGGAGAGATGGAACAAGAGAGGGGGGACGTGAGCTTTCCATCCGAACGTGACAGCTGCTGTATGTTTGAAATGCATTAGCACTAATAGCTGTGCCATTAGGGGAAAGACGAGAGGCACTCTACAGATGGAGAGAGAGAGAGAGAGAGAGAGAGAGAGAGAGATAGGTGATGGGAGAAGGAACCATCTTCCGGGCCATTTACTGTAATCATCATTCTCTAATCAATCAAACCTTTCATCATAAGTCAAGCACGTGTGTATGTGTGCATGCAATAGTCTACATTATTGTGTAAAAGCCCTTGTGCTTGACAACACATGCAGTACATGCACTCCGCTTTTTCTCGATGCATGCTCACGAGTACAGTGCTCATGCTGCGTATTCATATTCTCCATTCGGCACCTTCCTCCATCGGTAAATGCACAATAGACAAAGATCTATAAGTGTCCGTCTCCTTTCATGCATGCCTCGTCTTATATACCTCCTTCAGTTAATGTTGTCTCATCAAGCGTCTGCATGTTGGTGGTTGGAGGAGGTACTGCAGCAGTACTAGTAGCAATAGTGCTGTTGCCCACAGCAACTCAGCACCACTGTGTGTAATAAAGCTTTTGTTTGAGATAATTGGCTCTACAAAGGGAAAAAAGGGATGCCCTCTGTAGTTGTCCCTCAACAGGCTGAAAAATTCATCTTGAAGGGAAACCATTCAGGCGAAAACAAGAGGAGGTCTATTTTCGGGCTGATCCCTGCCTTGCATTTTAAGTGCCTGATGTGTGTGTGTGTATGTGTATATATATATATATATATATATATGTGTGTGTGTGTGTGTGTGTGTGTGTTTCCTTTGTTGATTTAATTATACAATCTGTCCTAAGCAAGTTTCAGTTTGAAAGCAGAACGATGATTACCAATTAGTACAAATAAAATTGGATATATTCAGGCATGTACATCATTTGGCTTCAGCTGGACCTTCAGCAGTATCGTCTAAGTTACAGAGAAATAGTCTTAGCATTTTCCTACTAGTGCACTGAGAGGCTGTCATTTTGGCATGAATAGTTAATGACAGGCTTCATGTGCATTAAAAGAAAATTTGTGTGCAGGCATCTGTCCTACCAGATCAGTGGTGCTGTTGTATGAAAGGTGAAAGACACACACATGTAGGAACTGAAAATATCAAGAAACCCACCACCTGTGATATATACACGTACATAGACAGACATATACACAGACCCTCGCACGCACAAACACACACACACACACACACACACACACACACACACACACACACACAGCTGCTTTGCCGGCTGCCTCCAGCAGTTGCCTTGGTGACCCATCAGGTTTGTTAATTTCAGCTTCCTGATTGCGGCACTAGCTGTAATTTGCTAAAGTGTCTCTCTTCAAGGGTTCACCTACTGTATCTCTCTCTTTTTCTCTCTTTCTCTCATCAGCACACATGTCCTTCCCTTGCTGAGTCTTAACACAATCTTGTGTGGGAGACCTTCGCAAAAGATGTGCTTGAAATAAACAACTTGTAGGCAACTGTGCTAAATCAAAATGTGTAATGTAGGGGGAGTGAGGAGACTGTGTGAGGAGATCATACTGAAATTGTGCACATCTGTATATATTTGTAACTCCAGACCTAAGCTCTACTCAGACAGCTGCTTGTTAGAAGAATGTGAGGTGCATGCCTGTGGCGGAGTTTGCGGAGAAAACCGAGGCGTGTCTCAGTTACATGCGATTCTGTTCTTAAATTAAATCAACTTTTCTTGCGTGATAGCAGCTCAGTTTAAATCCAGCACCTGACAGTGTGATTTAACCACAGTGTGCCATGCAAGCTCAAATTCAAGCTTTGAGCTATACATACACTCTAAAAGCTACGGAATGTCATCTCACACAAGTTAAATGCATTCAATTAACTGTCAGCTAATAGTATACAAAAAGGTGTATTTTTATGGCCTGTCCAGTCACTTGCTGAATCTGTCAGC